AGAAAAATCTAGAGACTGTCCTACAGGCAGAGTCTGTAGGGGCCAGTATTTACATACCTGAACCAGCACTGCAGGGGAAATGAAAAGAAAAGATTAAAAAAAAAAAAAAAAAAAAAAAAAAAAAAAAAAAAAAAAAAAAAAAAAAAAAAAAAAAAAAAAAAAAAAAAAAAAAAAAAAAAGAAAAAAAAAAAAAGTCATTGGAAGTTTCTCCAGCTCATTCCCGAATGGATCCCGCGCCCTCTGCTGGAGCGCTGTGCTCATCCCAGCCAAACGAGGGGGGAGAGACGGGAACGCGCGGGATGGGAAGGATCAGAGCTGGGAGGGAGCAGGGACCGTTTAGGAGGGAGAAAACTCAAGGGATTTAATGTCATTTAAGGGTTATACATAAGAGAAAAACAAAGCATTACACAGCAGGTGAAGAGGGGGATCTTGCTCCCTACAGGGAGACCAGAGGGGGAAGAGGTGGACTGAGACGAATTTTTAACTGAATTCTTTCCATTCTATCAGCTGGCCAGAGACTCTGCCCACTGCTTCCCCTTTTTAACCATGCCAGGACTTTCTCTTTTATCCCACGATTCTACAGTTCCCTCTAAAGCCTTCTGACCTAATCAAAGAGACTCACCATTATCACTGTGCTCATTTATCCCTTCAAAGAAATCAGTTTCCTAAAGCCAGACCTTTCTTAACAGAAACCTTGCTGACTTAGAAACTAGAAGGTTCTTCCCCCAGAGGGTGGTTGGCACTGAACAGGCTGCCCAGGGCAGTGGGCACAGCACCAAGGCTGCCAGAGCTCCAGGAGTGCTGGATAACACTCTTAGGCACAGGGTGTGACTCTTGGGGATGGTTTTGTGCAGGGCTAAGAGCTGAACCTGATGATCCCCGTGGGTCCCTTCCAACTCGGCATATTCTGTGTTACTCTGTGATATTTTTGTATTTATCCATTTATATTCAATTCCTTGTTATACCATTAATTGGCCTAATATAAATGTCGAATTTACCAGACTGCAGTGCCTTAGATGCACTTGTGGAAACTGTTTTAAAGAAAGCCACGGTGCTCACCACTCCCCAGACTCCAGGCACCAGTGGAGGATTAAGTTAATTATACAGTGCCATAAGTAATTCCACTATTTCCCCTGGAAGTCATGAGTAAATACCACTCAGTTCTGGTGATTTGTCAGCATTCATTCCATATGCCTGCAACCCAATTTCTGCCACACTTATTTAATAGGAGAGATGCTAGTCTGTCTTTGATTTCATTTCTTCTAATTCAATGACTCTCCAAATTGTATTCTCTGCTGGGACCACTAATTCACTTCTAGGAAAATCATTACAACAGACCAATTACAAGAGCAAATACAAATGCTGCACTTGAAATTAATACATTTATACTCCTCCCTGCTGCTCCCTCTCCCTGCCATTTCTTTCACACCTGTACTGTCCATGAATTCCCCCTGATGCACAAAGCCTCTTACAGACCTTTATGGTAAGCAGGGCTCAGCTGGTCAGTCAGCCTTGCACAGCTTCCCTCAATCCATCCTCAAAAACAGACTGCCAAACTTACCCTAAACCTGACTGGATTAAAAAAAAAATCCTCTTTTTTTTTTTTTTTTTTTTTGGTCCCCCTGAACAGATGATTTATCTGATACCATTGCCTGTAACATACCTTGACATAACACATCCACCTGTAAAACGTTTTGGCAGTGGTGAGTAATCCCGTTTCTAAAGGTTTTGAGCACTGCTGATGGAGAGCTTCAGTGATGGCATCTGTAATGAGTGTTTTGGGACAGCAGCTTTCCTCCAAAAGAGGAGTCAAGGATCATCTGGGCTGAACGAAGAAGGGATGAATTCAGTGGGCAAGTGGGGTCAGGCTGACTCTGTGGTTTGAAATACAGCAGGTGAGACAACCAAGGCTTTGTAAGATTAAAAAAAAGATGGGTGTGAACTCAAATGTGACAGTGAGAGGGTCAGGGGCTCAAGGATTAGAGACAGTCATGGCTTTGGATAGGGAGACCACAAGCACGCGAACAGTGCTGTCACAGTGCCAAGGTCAAAGAAAACAGATTCTGTGCATGAACCTCTGCCCTTGATTCCTTCAGCACGACACACCCTGGTGCAGCCAGTGGGGGAAACGGGGTCTGGCTTTGTCCTTGCCTCTTGTCCCATTGGCCCCTTCCAGTGTGCCTGCATGGCAGACAGGCAGAATGTCTCCCCAGAGGATCAGTGCCACACACATGGACTCACCTTTGTGGCCTGCAAGTCAAGAATTCTGCAAGAAAAAGATGTGATGGGTTAATTTGGAGATTGCCCCCGGGCATTCCCAGAGGAAGCGAACCTGCTGGAGCGAGACAGCTCTCCTGGAAGGTGGGAACACTTGGCAGAGTGCCCAGGCCAGCTCAGGGGCAGGAGGACAGTGCAGGACTGCAGCAGTCACCTCGGAGGAAGAAAAGGTGCACTTCTGCAAGTGGACATGGACCATCCTAATGAATTCCACATCAAATATTTCACATGAGCATAATGAAGTCCAAGAGAGCAGCCAGTCTCTGTGGCAAAGAAAACACAGCACAGCTTTAAAAAATACTGATTTTATTCATATGTTCTAGCCTATTCAACACTGGATCACATTGGTAGGAACAACCACAGATATCTAATTACATGACTTAACAGGGTCTTGCCTGTGCAAGGTTGGGTTTGAGTCAAGCACATATTATGGCACCATCAATAAGGACAATGATTGCTGTTCAAAGCTCAGTTGAGTCCCATCTCCCTTGTCAACTTCCAAGCCCAATAACCTCTTCTCCCTCCGTGTGTGGGACTGCCCACCAAGAACTGGGATTCTCAAAGCCTGAACCCAGCAAACAGCCTGAATCACATGCTCCATCTAAAAAATTCTCTGCACCTCAGGTTCTCTACTGGAAAGGCTTCAGGTTTTCATCAAAACAAACAGAAAAACCCTACCATCAACTAAAGACAGAGCAGGTCTCTTGGGAACAGGGAGTACACATTGCCTGAGGACTGCAGCCTCACATCCACGCTCAGGACTGCTCAGAAGACCTGCTCCAGGAGCAGCTTCCAATCTGGCAGCTCAGGGTTTCTCCTGTAAGCCTCTGGCAGGTAGTCAGGATGTCACAGCTTATCAGAGTTCAGACCCTCAGGTATTACAGCCCAGCCTGTTACAGCTGCCAAGGCAGAGTGAGCTGCCTTCTACCTCTTGTCCCTCACACACTGACTGTGAAAACTGCCAGACAGGCTACAAGCCACTCATGAAAATAGAGAAAGTGTTATTAATACACAGTTCCAGGGAACTGGGTGCCCAGCATCCATCAGACTAACTTCTGAAAGTCCCAGTCATCCTGCTCACTCCACTCCTCAGTCTCTCCTCTTCCAGAATCAATTCTTTCTACCCACCCTCTCTTTTTCGTGTGCAGAGAACTGGCAACACACACACGGTGGATCCACATGTGGGTATGGAAATTCAGCTGCACGACTGACCTTTGCTGCTGCCAGAGGCAGGGAATTCCAGGCCAGAGCATCCCTCTCTGCCCTTCACTTCTCACTGCTAATTGGGTTTTCAAGCAGTTTCAGCACAGCACAGCATGGACTTTGGGAG